TGTTTCTATCGTTAGTTTCAAATTTTATTTGAAGTATTTGACCGATAAAGCGTCATCAAATTCTCTATGCTAACGGTATTGAGCACCAATCAGATTTCGAGTACGGTTGCTGATTATTCTAGAATCGATTTACAAATTTGGAAATCTCCCTGACTGTATTAACTGGATATGAAATTGATCGTATTTGTAGTACAATTATTATTAACAACGCGTATTTCCTTATGTATTACAAAAAAAACAAAATTTTTATTGACCACCATTTTTTTCTTAACACACTGTATGTGAGAGATTCGGTTGCACAAACTTGATTATTGATAATGCATATCGATATGGCATTAAAAAATAGTCTGATTAATGTGATCTTTCAATAGCTTCTCTAAATCATTGTTTTTATCAGTCGCATTTGTTGTAAAAGCGTTTCCAACAACTTCCATAAATCCAACCTCGATTTTGACTCCGTGTATTTTCAAATATAAAACGCCATCATGTTTATCGCCGATTCGTCCACGTTCACCCTCTTGTTTTAAAGAGTTGCATTGCCGTTTACGCGTCTTGTTCTCAATCTCCCCACTTATCAAACGTTAAGGACAAAAGACTAGTTGAATTAACATCAAAGACAACTTTCAGCAGAAATACCTACGTCTCGAGCCATGCCACCTCTTCTACGTCGTAAAATATTGATGCCAACAGCGGGTTAACAATCTCATCTCAATACCGATATTCACTCGCATCACTATCATGTAAAACACTACATTTGCGAAGCAATTGCAAAGCCCTAATGTAAGAAAAACGGCCATATCAGCAACTGCTTAAAATAACGTAGAAGCGACCGATAACAAGAATTTACATTCGTGTGCAAAATTCTTGACACCAAAGAAGTTCATAATCTCGTTTATGCTGATAACTGTCAAACATCGGCTTTGCAAAACTTGTCACGAGTACGTCAAAGTCCATATGAAATGTATATTCGTCAAGGCTTCTTTCTATAACTCCATGGTCGGAATTAACTAGTGATTTTAATGAAGAGGCGTTCCATTGTTCTTCAATGGCATTTTGATCGATGGCAGCTTCATGCTTATAATAGTAGTAGGGGGTTAGTTCAATCCTCACAGATCTTATCATCAACAAAAGGGAATTTTACCTTAGCCCATTTATCACTTAATATTTGGATTTGATGGCTGGACAGCATCACAAGAAGCATTTTTGTATATGGCAACTCTCCATCAAAAAGACAAATAATGTTGTGGTAGGCTAGATGCCATTCTGTCTTTAAATCTGCTGGCATTTGCTTTGATGCACCCTGAGTCTCTAAACTGATGACACTTCCTCCTATCATACCTTGTTTCGAGTTGACCATCTTATTATTACACATAGTCTTTTTCTGACTCGATTTTCTTTTTCGAATCCTCGCAGCCATGCATGGAGACAAATTTCCATCAGCTATTGGTTCATGGCAAATTTCAGTGGTTTTCTCGAAATCTTCCTGTGCTTCCTGTGAAATAAATTTAAATACTTTGTTGAATATATTCCTTGCTTATAATACAACCTCGGCCACAGTAACTAACCGGAAAGTTGTCAGGGATAGTTTCACTTGTCAAAATGTCGTCACCATTTGCAGCCATAACAAATTTGTCGATTTCTGTGTCAACAACTTTGGCAACACATTTTTGATATTTGTTAACACTTTTTTGCTTATAAAGATAGAAGCTATGGTGAGTTTGGTCATTGTAGTAGGAAAAAGTAAGAATGTGAAAATGTACCACTCACAAATCGAATTTCACGATGGTCTTTTTGTGCATTCTTGTAGGCCCGTTGAATGCGCCGCTTTTTCCATAGCTCATAAGGTAATGTTAGGCATTCAAGCTCAGCTTCGAAAACGGTTATTATTATTATTATAGCATAGCATGCAAGTGGAGTGGTTTAGGTCCGAGCGACCCGCAGCCCCCCAGACTTCCAAACTCGAGTGACCCGCAGCCCCCCGAGTTGCCACCGATCAGGACAAGGAAGCGACCCGCAGCCCTTCCTCGCCTCAGATACTTACACCCCTCAAATGAGAGGCGCCTATCCCTCACAAGCAAAAGTCCAATAAAACAAATTCCAGAATTTACTTACATTCCAATTGTCCTTGATGTTTCTCAAAATGCCTAATATATCTTTACTGAAGAACTTTGAATCCAGGACTTCCTCCAAATCTTTACTGAGTGAGTCGTATATCTGCGAAGGTTCGTTATTTGAACGTTCTTGCTGATAGTAGGAGAACAGATCATCAGCTGTAATAGAGATCAATGATACATCGGGTTGAGTAAGGAACCGGAAAAGAGGTGTTTTGGTGAAGTTCATTGTAGAGATTGGCATGAAAAAGGGGCAAAAGCAAAAAATTATATTGAAAAAAAAATTAATTTTTTTTCAGAGATTATCAGGAGAGGCACTTAATTTGGGTTGTTCGAAAAATATAATTAATTAGCCTACTCCATACATAACAATGTTACATTCTACAACCTACTCTCTCGTATCCCAGTGATGAAGAGTTTACTCAGAGTTTGTATGTCGTATATAAATTTCGTCATCTAAATTACTCAATCAATGAATTTCAATAAACAATCACTGTTATGAGTCATGTAATATAAAACGACTTAATAATTACTATCAAGCGTAAATACGTATTAGTATATGTCTGGATTTATTATTTTTATTTTGTAGTTGCTTTTTAACTTAGCCCCAAACTATGAAGCTTTCTGTGGCCAAATCAGTTGCAAAGAAGTAAATCAGAACGATGGTTTTTTTTTTCAAAACACAAATAACATGCATAACATAGCTATTCTACTTAGCAGAATTTGCTGAGTGGTTACACCAGCGATTACAATGATTACGACCGCTGAAGCTGATTATGAAACTGAACATATGGTACTCACGGTCTGTATTTCAACTAAACAGACATTAGAAAAATGCCAAACCGTCTTAGTCAAGACTGCAGCAAAGAGAAAAGCAAAAATAATATTTTTGACTAACTGTATATTGGAGAATAGTATACACGCATCATAAACAAGGAGAAATCGCATATTTTTCGCTCTACTTTTTTTTTCTGTTTGCAACATCTTGAGAAAATAGGGGGAGGGGTGTATCAACGTTCTTTGTGTTATTTGATGCAGATGACGTAGAGTATGTAATGCTGGCTTTGTTGTTAATCGACCAAACACTAATGTTAGTTTTTCTAAAGTCCTTGGTGAATAGAAAATGGGTTGTAATTTGGTTTCTAATGTGAGAAGAGGTTTTCTATAGAGACTGGTTATTGTAATCTCAAGTTCTGCTTGCAAATATTTTGCTGAGCAACTAACATTGATTGATGAGAGAACGGAAATCGCTATAAAAAAATTGTCTCCGTAGATTACAGCATCCCTCTATGATCGGTTTGCAAGCCTTGTATTTTAGGTAGTAAAGTAGGATTCACGACAGTAAGAATAAATAAATTAGGCGCAGTAGTTCGTTTCTCATGTTAGTTTGGCTTGACTTTATATTAATCAAGACAAGCGTGTGTAATCTAAGCAAGAGCGTAAATGCAACTGAGCAGGTAAACGTACTAACTGGCTTGTGTTCACAAGGTTCGAATTGGGGCTAACTCTTTCTCTCAGAATAATGGCACGACAATCTAAGTTCAGTCAACCTCGATATAATGAAGTCGGATTTTTCGAAAAGCTCATATATAAGCGGCATAAATCTTCACTATGTTGTGATTGGCAAATCTTATAACAGTATGATAATAAACGCTATTTCAGCTTTGTTTAATGTTGCAAGTGTCATACCGTAGTAAGTCTTGATTCGGTTTAAGGTTTCAATGTACTTATTCAATCACAACAAACGTATAGGTTGTGCATAGAATACTGGCTCTGTCTTCCTCCGACTTATTTATATTTAGATAAAGTGACAGCCATCTTACCTCATCACTCACAATATTTGAAACGGTTGTCTCAGCAATACACGTATCAGATTGCCTCGCTATCACTTCGCTTTTTTTTTAAACAACACGTTTTAGTTTTCTGGATACTGACAAACTTCTTCTCTCTGAATTGATTTTTTTCCCTCTTTATAGCGTCTCTCTTTATCAGCTTCATTCTGTTAAAATTCTCTGCTTTTATTCTAACACGTATTTATATTTTATTGGTCAAAGTTAAGGTGGCACAATCTTCACTAACTCGATAAGATAAAGTCGAAATTAATACTTTTAATCAACACGTGTTTGTATTATGATTGGTCAAAAACCATCAAATGGTACAACATATCGAGATGCAATCTACAGTAATTCGACCGCTTGCGTTCCGAGGTTATCGATCGAATTAACGTACAAGTCGAATTATCGTCAGTTAATTACAATAGAAATAATAATAGATGTCAAAAAATGTGTTCTGTAACCTAATGGTCAGTTGACTGTACTAATATTGTTTGAGAAAAAAACCTGACTATATCTAATGGCGAGACTTACTATATAACTTCATTATATCGAGGGAAAATTTAATAATATTGTTTTTGTATCAGAGTAATTCTTTACTATAGCGCGAAATTCATTTGACTATATCGAGGTTTGACTGTATCTGCTATTTGCCGTCCCATGGATGGGTGTATAGTCAAGCGTACTACATGGGTCTGTGACTATATAGGAGAGGGGTACGACTGTAATTTTGCATGATACAAATAACATAATTTTAATTATACAAGTATGTCTTGGTGACTGATTATTGGTTCATTCCAACTCCAATCGTATTTTGTATGACATTACATATACACAATCGACATAAACAAGCGGATTCTGTTTCTTTTCGCAAACGTAGTGTGTGCAAAAGAAAGTTTGAATTTCTTCAGGAAACTAAATACTTTCAGTAACATAAACTTTTGTATTTACGTACGTATATTAATATGGATAATAAGTATTCATCGCCTGCAGACAGCTGGGTAAGTTCAATAAGTCCGGTCGAGACAGTTTTTCGTATTGGTATAGATTAAACAACCTTTTGTTGTTAGCAAATTCTCACAATAAAAATTACAACTCACTTTAACTAGGAGATTGGACAACAATCATCTTCAGGTACCAATGCAAAGTTTAAAGATGTCATTGAAAAAGACTTCATTGTTTTTGGAAGTGACAGCGATAGTGACAACTCTGAAGATTATGAACGACTACTTCCAAGTAAAGTTGAATTACATGAGCAATTAACAACCAACATAGAATCAATTGTCAACAACAATGATAGAATGGGTTATCTTGTTAAATTATACAACCTGTTACTATTATCTGGAACTATATTAGATGACGATCAATTAGAAAACACCTTGAAAATCATAGCATGTGGGGTTGCATATGATAACTACAAACAGATTACTGGTATAGAATTGGAACTGCATCTTAGAATCTATGCATTACTTTTGGAAATATATGGCAGGCGACCTCTTAAAATGGCAAGGAAATTTTATGAAAGTTTGTATGAGAATCTTGTACAGCTACATGATACTCATCTGTCTTATACCAAAGTATTAGAAAATGGCTTAAAAGACGTATTTGCTAATTTGGAGGAAGGTTTTAAGGTTCAAAATTACAACATTGATTTTTTACTTTTGCATCTTTATGACACTCTTCATATGATGGATGATGATAAAACTACTTGGCTTGAAATTATAAAACAGTTAAAAGTACTGTTTTCTGCACACATCAAGCCTTTTACTCTGCCTAGTATGACTGGTGTTATGGCAACTGTAGAAACTCCAATTGATAACAAAGCCACTATTGAAGTTTATAACAAGATTCACAAGACCTTACAATCTAAGTTTTCTGTGGGACATTGGTACAAAGAATGGATATATTTATTTAGCATATATCAAGCTTTTGTTGAATGGTCAGCTGTCCCAATTCATAAGAATCTAGTTGCTAAAGGAGAATTGATGATTATTAAAGATCTTTGGAGATTTGGAGACCAAGAATGGAATAAAGCAGTGTCAGCACAACCAGAAACGGATGGATACAAAATTATTAAACCAAAAATTATGTTAGATTATATCTCAGAATCAGTTCCATATTCTTTATTGTTTGGTATATTGGATATTGCTCAAAATCTTATAAATTCTACAAAAAATATTAATACCTTGGCTCATTGCTACTATCTTGCAAAACTATCCATGGACATAATAAGAGTGGAGTTTATTCAATTTAAAGCAATGGAAGTTCTGTTGACACTTTATAAAAAAGATCCAATTACATTTTCTGTTGTGCAAGTTGATCTAGATCAACAAACTGAAAATTTTTCAACATTGAACCAAGATAAAAAAAGGTTTCAAGACATGAAAGAACACATTGATAAAAAATATACATATATTAATCAGGCACATGTCAGAATGATGTTTAAAATGTCAGTCTCAAGACAGAAAGAAAAAAAGCCAGACTGGACACCTGAAAAACTTCTTAATTCAAATTCAGATGATTTATTAATTTTAGACATGGTTGCAGATCATCTCACATGTCCATTTACACAAAAAGTTACAGATGATTTTAGAATACTTCCATGTAAGCACAAAATCAGTTATCTGGCATTAGAAATATTCATGAGAATGAACTGTCTTGAACTGAAATGCTTTTATTGTAGAAGAAAATGTCAATTGGATGAAACTGAGAAAATGCCAAGCTCACCAATTTACAAAGCATTGTATGAAAAATTTGTCAGAGCTGGACATATTACACCAAAAGACAAAGTAAAAGCAAAGGATTTTACAACTATTGTGGCAAGTCAGGATGATAATGATGATGTTGAGGAATCTTCTATTATAAAATCAAAGTTTTTATATTTGCTCAAAATGAAACCAAAGAAAACAATCATACAAAGAATGAAAAGACCAAAAAACCTACATCCTACATATAGGCAAGGCAAGAAAGCCCTTGATGAAAAAAGATATAAAGATGCAATATTATGGTTTGAAAGAGCACTTATACATTATCCCAACAGCACAACAATTCAAATTGACCTTGCCATTGCATATATGGAAAATTTAGATTATCAAAAATGCTATGATTGCATAACTCAAGCAATAAAAAATAATCCAAACAATGCTAGAGCATGGGCACAACGCGGAAAATATTATATGCAACAATCAGAGTACAAACAAGCTCTTAAAGATCTTAAGCAATCATTAGAGATTGATGCAAATGATGCACTTGCATTAAAAGTCAGGGGAAATGTCTACTACCTTCTTAACCAATATGACATGGCATTGGATGATTTCAACCAATTACTAGACATTGAACCAAATAATACAATGGCATTGGAAATAAGAGGAAAAATTTATGCTATGCTTGATGAGTA